AAGCGAGAATATAAGGGCAAGAATGTGTCCCCTAAGGGCAGAGAGATCACTGAGCAGAGCCTAGATTTCCTAGTTTCAGTATCCTGGACTATCTTTCACTGGTCTTAGAGAAGCTCCTCTAGCACATCAAAACTGGATTAATTGCAAGTCCAGATCTCTACTTGTCCCCCTTTTCTAAAAATCAAAAGGGTAAAATGATACCCCAGAATGTTGCTGTACCAGCACTCTGACCCCCAACATCTGTACAATTTAGAACAAGCCAAGCCTTTGCAGTTTCTGCATGGAATAACCTCCCCCATATGTCCATCAGGATAACTCTTACTTCTTCAGATCTTTGCTCAATTACTTCCTTAACAAGGCCTATGCCCTGTTTAAAATTGCAATTTGCCATTGACCCCCCACTCTTCTAATTCCCCTTACCCTCCTTTTTTTTCATAACATATATTGCCTTCTGACATATATTTACTTATTTATTGTGTTTATTGCTTATTATCATTATTTCTCTACAGGAATGTAAACTTGAAGGCAGGAATCTTTGTTTTGCTAATTGACGTATCTGAAATGTCTTGAACAGTGCTTGAGAATGAATTAATGAACAATAATAATGAGTGAACAGATGAATGAATAAATCTTAGTAGTTTCAACTACTAGTTCAACAGTAGTTCAACTACTGTTGAAGTAGTCCCTCAACTAAGTCCCACTTCCCTTATAGATAACAACCTGCATTTTTTCCTGTCAACATTCTAAATTATCCTCACATTTTTGTCTAATTTAATAGGTGAAAAATGGGATCTCATTGTTTTAATGTATATTTCTTTAAGTAATATTATGGTTGATTTTTTTAATATCTATTTGCTTACTGTTAATACCCATCTTTTATGAACTGTTTGATTCAATGCCCATTTATTTATTAGAAAGCTTTTATTTTATCTATTAGTATATTCTGTAATAATATTACCTATTGTTTACTGAGTGCTTTCTGTGTTCCTAACTACTGTACTATGCTATGTATCATTCCATCTACAGCTAAAATTCTGTGTAGCTATACGTAAATAATAAGGACTTAACCTAGCATATGTAACATATATAGGTAACAGTCATAATCAACATTTCTTGAGGATTTACCATATGTATTGTAACGATTTTGCAGAGTAGTTGTTATTACTGCCTTTATTGGATCGATGAGGGAATTAAGGGTCAGAGAGGTTAAGTGACTTTTCCAAGATCATACAGCTGGTAACTACGTTTGAATCCATCATCAGTGCTCTTATTCACTAGTAGTAAAAGCTATGTTATGTGTTCTCTTTGCTATATGTCTTCTAGTATGTGTTTAAATATACAGACCTAGAACTGGGTGGGCTTTTAGTAGATGTTTTAATGATGGAACCTAAAAATTATCCTTAAGCCTATTAAGCCTAGTACGATACATTGCTGATTTACTAGCAAAGAATTTTTTAGGCACTTTAATCTTAACAACAGTATGTCTGCAATCACCACTTCACTTTTCAAATTGAATCCTATTAGTGGTCTTGATTTTTAACTAGTTATTATTGGCCATTAGGTGATGTTAATTAGTATAATATTTATTTTACTAGGGGGATGAATAGGAATTGTTGCTGCTTAAAAACAAGAATATAGTCTTTTCTCTTGAATTTAGGGCATTTTTAAGATTATGTTTTCGTAGCATTTGGATTACATTTGCAGAAGGTATTCCTCATTAGCTTGGTCATCTTTACTAAGTGTAGCATTTCAGTTTTACGTGTGATAGATGCAGTATTCTTATCTTGTTTGAGAAATTTGTAGATAGGATGTTTTTATGTGTTTTAATTACTGAAATAAAAGAATAAAGTTTTCTTTAGGGTCTTCATTATATTCTCTTTGAATATTAACATTTCTTATTAAACCATTTGTGATTCTGAAGATATCAGAATACTGAAAGAGAACAAATTTTTAAAAAATGTTATTTTTTCATGTCTCTTTTTAGGGACACTGGATAGATGTTTTACTAACATGTCCCCCCCCCAAAAAAAGAATTCTGATGAGCAGAATATCATTCAAAATTCTCCTCTGTAAGCTATCAATATCATTTAAAAAATAGTTTTGACCGTTTTTATAAAACAGGAAAGCTATTAAAAACTGCTAATAAAAATAGATGCTTATTTCTGTGCTAATACTAATTACTAATAATGCATGCTTATGTTTGTCACTCATTACATGGCACTGTACCAATCAGTGGATGACTGAGACTCAAGCACTTACACATGTAAATTAACAGTTAGATTTTTTTTCCCCTTTTTTTACTTAAGTGAGTCATAATGGAAAGCAACTCTAGGTCATAAAAAATCTTCTCTCTTTAATGCTAATGAAATGTCTCCACTCTGTATTAGCAGACTACCCTTAGTGGTAATCTGTAGCCTTCTCTTTTGTTCCTGGTGGTAATGAAATGCTGGGTGCTGAAAAAGCTCGCTCTTCAAGAATGTGTGGCCAATTGTCTTCTGTTCACTTATACTGTAAAATTTCTGTTCCCCAGCAAAGCTGAACAAGTGCAGGGACAAGATCAAAAGAGTATACATTGGCACCCGGCTACACCAAGTGACTCCTGCTTTATTAATTAGCCATAGCTTCTCCAAGTTAATTTACTCTGCTAGAGCAAAAACATTCTGTAATACAAAAACAACAAATGATAATTCACCCACAAGTCCTTATTGTCTGCTTTCTTCAACTTTCAGTTTAAACCTTTGTACAGTGTTATAAGCTAAACGTCCCTTCACTTTTCTGAACCTTAGGGCACAAAAGCTATTTTTATTTTTTTCAAGAACCTCAGCGAGATAGTCAAATGATCATTTTTATTCTCTAAAATTGGGTGATTTTAATTGATATCATTCTTTTTAAAAGTCAGTGCATTGGGAATCCAATTTAAAAGTGCAGTTGCTTCTAAAATTTGCAAGCTTGTTCTGTCCTCTCATCAGAAATGCCACTGGTGTTTAAGCATTTGAAAAGGGCCTTCTCTGTGAGTGTTTTGGCGGAAGCAAAATTTGACAGTGATCCTAAGCTCCAAATTAAATAATATCAGTACCACTTTCCTTTTCATTTTAATCACCACTTTGTAAGTTCCTGAAGTCTTTTTAATTTAAGGAATCTTCAGTAGGTTTTTAGTTAATATTTTAAAGTTATAGCCTGAAACAGCAAAAAAAAAAAAAAAAAAAAAGATCTGCACATTCCCATATCCTGGTTTGGTTTTGTTTTGTTCAGGTGGAAAGGAAATAATTGAACTTTTGAGTAAGATATCAGCTGAAAGAGAAAAGTGATTTAGACCTCTGTCACCCAGGTTGTTATTGTTCATAGTGTTATAACCATTTAGTTGGCAACTTTTAGTATTATGATCTAATGTGAAAGAATTCCACTAGTTTCTATGTACTTTAACATGGTTTAAAAATAACAATGCGGGGCTTCCCTGGTGGCGCAGTGGTAGAGAGTCCACCTGCCAATGCAGGGGACACGGGTTCGTGCCCCAGTCTGGGAAGATCCCACATGCCGCTGAGCGGCTAGGACCGTGGGCCATGGCCGCTGAGCCTGTGCGTCCGGAGCCTGTGCTCCGCAACAGGAGAGGCCACAACAGTGAGAGACCCGCGTACCGCAAAAAAACAAACAAACAAAAAAACCAATGTGATATATATTGTGTGATATATTTTGTGAATATAAAATAAGTTTTATTGAGATTATCTAAAATGTGCTGTTAAAGGAAGATCAAAGCATTTTTACATTGGGAGAATATAAAACCCATGTTATTATATTCTTAGGGGAAGGTGCAATGATTAACATCGATCTTCACTATATATTTATTTTTTGAAGTCAACTTCCTACCCTCCCTAATTTCTGTATTTTTTGGGATCTTTTTTTTTCAGGAGCTCTTTTTAAAATTTTTATTATTATCTTTTTTTCACATCTCTATTGGAGTATAAATGCTTTACAATGTTGTGTTAGTTTCTGCTGTACAACAAAGTGAATCAGCTATATGCATACATATATACCCATATCCCCTCCCTCTTGAGCCTCTCTCTATTTTTGGGGATTAAAAAAAAAAAACAACAAAGTTACCATTAAGCTTACTTGCTAATTGTGGATTTTTAAAAATAATTTTAGAAAAGATCAGTGGTTATATGTATCTCTGTAACTTAGATGAAATAGTGTTATCTGCATTATGCATTTCTGGTTTTGTCAGAAGCTTTTTTTTTTAAAGCACTGTGTTAACCATTCTTGTAAGGTTTTTTTTTTTTTTGGTAGAAGGAATATTTGTGTTTGGGAAGGTTAGCAGAGGCTGGCTGTGCTGGAAGTGACTGCAGTGCCTTTTGATTATTCATGGACAGTAATAGAAGGCACTTAAAAAGAACAATGAAATTGCTTATTTTTGTGATGGGCCATCTGTTGAATTGTTTTGTGCAACAATTGCACAATAGTATCTATGTCATATCATTCTATTTTCAACAGCAGCTGATTATGTCTCACTGGCTACTTGTCCTTATTTCTAAAGTCCCATGACCATTTAAAGTCACCTTTTCAGGGACCTTTGCCAGAAAGGTATTAGAAATCTCAAACAGCCTGTGTATTTTTTTTTTTTTCTTTTTTTCTCTCTCTTCTTTATTTGGGGAGGGAGGCTGTGATGGGAGTAGGAGGGGGGAGTTGGTCATGTTAGTTCTAATTAGTTAGACTTCCTAGATGTTTAGGACAATTATCTGTGCTTTCCACCTGTAGTTCTATAAAATAAGTTAACATAGAATCAGTTGATAATTTGGATAGAAATGTAGGCTTGCAAAAAAGAAGAGTCAAGTTTAAAGACTGCAGGCTTTCATGCTTTTAATTATCTACTCTTTTCTTCATGATAATTAGAATTTTTCTCTTGGAATTCACTTCTTTTTTTTTTTAAAAAAAGGATGAGCCATTAGCAAATTTGTTAGAGCAGAAGTGAAATTAAAATAAAACAAATGTATTGCTGTCCATAGGTCACTGACATTGCTGATGCCATGATTCTGAAACAGCTTTTTGAAAATCTGTTCAAAAACGGGGTCGTCGTTGTGGCAACATCCAACAGGCCACCGGAAGGTAAAAACAAACACTGTGCTGTAGTGTCTTATCCAATTAGGTAGAAACGAACAAGCTTTTAAAAATTCACAATTTTGGACTCATTTTATTGTGTTAATAAATCTGATTACTTTGCTTTATCCTAAGTTTTATAACTAACTTAATCTGAAAAATCAGTCAGTATTTGTATAATATTTGAAAAATCTTTCCTAAATCCACGTGATCTCCCGTGTTTGATGCACTTGCAGTTTTTCCCTGAGCATTAGATATGCCATGTGTGCATATCAAAAAAATACAGGCCTCTCTAACTGCATTTTATGGGCCATAAAAGAAACTCAAATGAAATGAAAGAAAAAGTTCCTAATTGAATCTTGGAAAAAGACTTAAAGCTTTCCTGCATAAGTGGTTTCTGATACTTCATTTATCATTTCTGAAAAAGCACTTGTGGCTTATTAGGACATTATTAAAAATTAAAATACAATAATACATAGATAAAAACAAGTTTAAATTTTGTGTCTTTCAGCCCATCATGTGGTCAGTTGAAGGCTGAAAGAACCAAAAATAATATCTTATGCATTCTTAGTATTAACATCTGACTGGAATGCTATTCTGCCAGATACCTGCATGGCTAAGTTCTTACCTCTTTCAGGTCTTTGCTCAAAGGTTACTTTGCCAATGAAGCCTAGACTCATCTCCCATTTAAATCTACAACCATGCTCGTTTTTCCTGGCACCACTTCTTTTTACCTGCTCTATTTTTTTCACGTAGCACTTATGGAGCCACCATGTAGTTTACTTATTTACTATATATATAGTTTATTATCTGTCCTCTGCCAGGATGCAAAAGCTTCAGGAGGGCAGCAACTTTTATCTCTTCTGTTCACAGATATACATATTTTAAGTACCTAAAACAGTGCCTTGCACATGGATGGATCTCAGTAAATAGTCTTAGAATGAATGTTGAATAAATGTGTGTTCTCAAAGGATCTCTCTGGCTGCAGTACTGAGAATAGATTTTGGGGATGAGGTTTCAAGGTTGGAAGTAGGGAGACCATTTAGGAGATGACTGTAACAATCCCAAGGGGACATGATGGAGCAGTGCAGGTGGTAGGAGTGGTCAGATTTTGTAGACAGAGTCAAAAGGATTTACTGATGGAATGAATATAGGGTATGGAAATAAAAAACATCAAGAAAGACTCAAAGATTTTGACCTGAGCAATTGGAAGGATAAAATTGCTGTTTACTGAGATGGGGAAGACTATAGGAAAAGCTAATTTGGGTAGGGAAGTAGGGTTTCTACGATTATGAGGCTGATGATGCATTTAAGAGTTTGGATTTCAATGGAAAGGTTTGGACTGGAGATGTAAATTTGGGAGTCATCAGTCCTAAAGGAAGCTGGTAAGAGCAGCCAGTGAGTAGGAGGAGAGCCAAGAGAATGTCAAGCAAGGAAAAGGAAAGTGGTACAAAAACGATGGATGATCACCTTTGTTAAATGCTGCTAGGAGGTGAAAAATGAGGTTGAGAACTGACCACTGGAATTGGTAACATGGAGTTTATAACTGAACCTGAAAAGAGCAATGTAATAGTGTGTTTTTACTTTTTAAATTAAGTCATGTCACATTAATGACTTATAATGAATTTGTAATCTACTAATATGCCCAGATATTACTATGTGAGCTGTTGTCAAACTAGGTCTCTCTCTTTCTGTATTTTTGTAGTTGATCTCTTTTTTCTTCCTATTACAGTTCAGCATATTAGTTTGTCTACATTGTTCCATATTATTGATTTATGTTGATATTTTTTGAAGTATGATTCTAGTAAATTTTTTTTAACTACCCCTACTAGCTATGACATTTATAAACTTAGTAATCGTGCTTCTGTGTCTTTAGCCATTCATTAACTAAAATATGTAAATAGGGTAGGGCCAAGTTTAGACTCCTGTAGTATACCATTAGAGGCCTTATTTTAGGGAGACATTAATTAGTTAATCAATACCTTAAGACCTAGTTATTCAAACAATTACACTTATGCCTAATCTGTTACACTGTTAAGAGAATTATGAATGGTTTTGTCAGATGCATTTATTAAAATCCTTATAATGTTATATATAGCATTCTTGTGATTTATTAGTGTAACAACTCTATGAGACAAGGCAGTGAGTTTTTCATATTAGATCATCGATGGGGATGTGAGGCTTGACTCCTTCAGTTGACTGTTGACTTAACAGTATCTTCAGTATTACCTTTAGACATTCAATGATAAGCTATGTTCATAAAGAGCAAAGTGCTAGAGCAAGCTTGGAATGCCCCTCCCCCCCCCCCCCCCCCCCCCCGCCCCCAGCAAATACTGCTGAAAAGAAAATTGCAGTCAGCTGCTCAAGCTACTGCAGTGTGGTCCACTGAGGAAGGACAACCACAGGAGAGGTTAGGAACATTCTGGAGCTCATAGCTTTGTAGGACTAAGCAAAGTTACAGGCCCACCAAGGTAGCACAGAGAAATCCGAGATGGAGCCATCCTCCTGGAGAAGACTGAAAGTCTAAGATGCAGAATTCCAAAAATTGGGCATTAGCCACAAATTCAAAGAAAGCCTTTTCTAAATATGAACCTGGACAGGATGCTTAACATACACCAGGTTTTTTAGCCATGGCAGACAATCATCATAAGTAGCTTAATATTTTAATATAAAGAAGATGGTATGTATATATACCATCTCCTCGTGGTGTGTGTGTGTGTGTGTGTGTATAATTTCATGACTGAAGAAACAAGACTCAGATTAAGTATGAATCTCAGGAAAAGGAAAAAGTGTAGGACAAAGAATGGGTCAGTTGTTGCCAAGGGCTGGTGTGGGGAGGTGTTTGACTACGAAGGGCCAGCACCAGAGAATTTTGGGGGTTTTGGAACTGTTTTGTGTCCCGATTGTACTGGTGGTTACATGTTTAAACTCATAGAACTGGACAACAAAAAAGTTAATTTTCCTGTATATAGATTAAAAACAAATCACATGGTTAGTGAGTGATAGAACAGGGTCTAGAAAGTAGGTTTTGTGACTCTTTTGACACATTGTCCTCTATCTTTTCTCCTTGTTGGTCATCACTAATCTTTGTCTACTCTGTCCCAGATACAGTGTGTCCTCTTTTCCAGCCATCAGAATGCATTCAACTTTTTCTTTAGGTTACAGCTTTTAATACACAGCCCCCAGATAGTTATTATTATTTTAAAAATAGCATCTACTTATTCTAAGAGTGTTATGAGAGGTGGGAGAAGAACCTTCCTGGCAGAGGGTTGAGGCAAAGCCCAATGGTTGGAGAGAGAATGACCCATTTGAGGAACTGAAAGGTAGCCAGTGTGGCTAGAGTGCAGTGAAGTAGGGGAAGTAGGATACAGTGAGGTACAAGATGAATCTGGAGAAGTGAGAGCTAGGACCTTATAAAGCAGTAGTAAGGATTTTGGATTTTATTCTGAGAGAAATGGGGAGCCACTGTAGTGCTTTAAGCAGGGACTGATAAGATTGGATTTCGAATATCACTCTGGTTATCGTATGGAGAATGAGTTACAGGATGGGATGCAGTGATATGGTGGATTCAGGGAGACACACTAGGAAGCTATTGCAGTATACTGGGCAAGAAATGATAATAACTTGGTATAAGGCAGTGATTCTCAACTGGGGGGCTGTTTTGCAAACCAAGGGATATTTGGCAATGTTCGAGACATCTTTGGTTGTCACTGGACAGGATGGGGGGTTTGGTGCTGCTACTGGCATCTAGTAGGTAGAAGCCAAGAATTCTGCCAAAACATCCTATAGTGTGTAGGGATACTTCTCACAACAAAGAACTATCTAGCCCCAAATAATAATAGTTCTGAGGTTGAGAAAACCTCATATAGTATATAGAGAGGATAGATTTGAAAGATAGTTAAGAAGTAAAATGGATAGCACCTTGTCATAGGTTGGATACTGAGGAAAAGGGAAAGGACAATTTCTAAATTTCTGGCCTGTACAAGTGGGTGGGTAGTGGTGCCTTCATTCAATAAAGACAGAATAATCTGGAGGTTAGAAGTCCAGATCATGTTGCCCAGTGGACAAGAACACTGTATTTTCTTCCCCTCTGTTAACTCTTTAGCTGCTGTGTTTAATTTTCTTCCACATTATTCATCTCATTCCTTCCATTTCTAGTTATAATGCATCAATTTCCTGGACAAGAATAGGGGTTATTGTTGGTGGAGATTACAATCAAACACTCATCTTTTCTCAGTTAATAACTTAATTGTCAATTTATAGACAAATAAGTTATTAATTTTAATAGAAAATGATCAGAAACATTTAATAAATAATTAACAATTTTAATAGAAAACAATTGATAACGAGGTAAAAGCAACACCAGAATTTAGGAACTTAGCAGAGAAAATAGCTATGGAGGAAAGTGGTCTGGGAAAGTCCGGTAGAAGAAAAGAAAGGGAAGCAATACTTGAGGGGGTGAAGGGAATAAGGTACCAGTGACTGCCTTTATGTCACTGTTTTTTTCTAGTCCTCACTTCTAAGTCCTGCCTTCCTTGGGTCCAAGGCCTCATCCTGTACACCATGTAGTTGTTAAAATCTCAAACCAGTGTCAGTTCATGATGACAACTTTAGCTTTTAGCTTCCTGTTTGTTTACTGATCTTCAGGGATTTTCCTACTTTCTGGCAAGCTCAAAATATGTTTAGTATATTTTAAACATTTGTAACACAACACTTGTAGTGCTATTTTATATTTTCTAGGGTAATCTGATTAAGGTTCTTAAACTTGAAGCAAAGAGGAGTAGGAAATTGCCGGGAAATTTTTAGATAAACTATATCTAGAGATAGTTTATATTCAATTTTGTATTTTTATAAAATCTCAAGTAAATGATTTATTTAGCATTTTTGTCATTTAGGTAAATACTTTCATATGGCTCATGTACAAATAGACATATTTTTACTTTTCGAAGATTATATTGTCAGGTCATTAGAAGAGCCAGAAGCAAAAATCCACAATTAAAATATCATAT